TGAATAGTGGGAAAACACCTGCTGCCAGGCTGACCAGTTTCTTCCCTGCTCTTCCCATATAAAAGAATTTGCTTCCTCATGCTGCGATTGTACAGCAGCTTGCAGTGCAAAAATACATTTTGGGAAAAAAAGCACTTTCAGGTCCTGATATATTTGAGATGGTGATTCACCAGGCTGCCATCCTGCTATCAGAGCGCAGAGCAGAGTAGAAGCAGTGAATCAGCTGGATACAGGAAAGTCAGTGTTAATTAAAGGAATGAATAGGCTTGTATGGAGGAACCAGAGCATTCGCTGAACCCACCACAGCTGTGATTGACAAGGACATGTCATGCAGGGCAAGCAGGGTGAGACACGCACCTTCTTACACAGACCATCCAAATTCAGGCAAGACCTGCAGGACTAAACATCATTCCATGGCAGAGATCCTTCCCCACAGCAAGGCTTTGCCCACAGCGCTCAGCCCCTCTTTGCTTTGCTGTAAATTTTGTCGCCCCTCCCCTCTTGCCAGGGCCATTGCTTCACGCAGGGTCCTCCCCATTTTAGACCCTGGGCATTTCCTGGTCCATCAGCTGCTGTCTGTATGGCAATACTACAGTGAGTCCCCGTACAGCACTGTAAGTTGCATGGCCACCACTGTGGTAGGTCCCATGCAGACACACAAAAATGTGCTTTCTTCCCTAGATTATCAACCCCGATGGCAAAAGAGCCAGCTCCGCAGGGAGACAGGAGATGACAGCAGTCTGGTGCATGATTAATTTATATCCTTAAAAGTCTGAAATACTCCCAAAGACATTAGTATTCCCCATGTAAGAAAGCTGTCCAGATTTTCAACATATCCCTGCCTTATTCCCACATCTACTGGAATTAATAGCTGAAGGCTTGTAAAGCCCAAAAGGCAAACACAGGACTGCATTTAATCTAATGCAGAGGCTGAGATCATAGTTTGGGAGTCTAAGTGTTGTCAGAAGCAGAGACAGCCCAAATTCTCATTTATACTAAGACACTTTTATAATATCCTGAAAGCATAAATGCACCTCAGAGTGGGTGCAGTGCCAGGACTGACAGCCTCTTTGCACTGTGGAAACATTGGTATGAAGGGCCCTTCAGAGATATGAAGACAAGTGAAAATGAAAAGCCCACTCCTTACATCTAACCCCAGCAGAGGTGATACAGCCCAAGAGCTTTCTAAGACTCCAGACAGTTCACTCTGTGTGTGTGTGTGTGTGTGTAAACCTGTGCAAAAGGAAGTTGAGGATGCTCTGGAAGGAGGATGAAGAATCCACCCAAGTGTTTTAAAAGCAGGCATCAGCCCACACTTGTTTTTTTTCACACTGCTTAGTAGTCCAGCCATCACACCCAGAAATTATTCCTTTTCTCTGTTGAAGAGGCTGCTATGTCTAAGTTAGTGAGAGATCTTCTGGGATTAATAAGTGCTACCTCCTGCTTTCCATATTTAACTTTTCACTGGACAAGCTCTGGTGCCAGTTGTAGCCAGTTGCTGGTGTAACAAGGACCAACGTGTGGGAGATTCCCCCCTGACAGCCCTGGCTAAGCCCAGCACTGCGCCTGGTGCCCAGCTCATCATCCCCCTACAGGGCACTGTAATAGGGAAGTGCTCGCTAGAGACTACATGAGATACTCCATGGTCAGCTGCTTTTTTTCTAACTTGGAAGAAAATATGCTGGATAGGCTGATGGAGCCATTGTATATCATGGTGGAAGTGGCACAGAGAAAACATATGCAGTTTTTTAGATTTGTTATATGATCGTCTCTCTCTCTCTCTCCAATAGCACATTTCACTGAGGCTATCAGATCCCTCATCCCCTCCTACAGATGTGCAGTACTTAGTAGCTAAAAAATGAGGAGGTGGATACCCAGAATTTCGTTACTGTAAAATTAAACTCTGGGAGCCAGACTTGTTTTAAAAATCAGGCAAGCAAAGTAATGCCTGGCTTCAGTTATGTTGTTTGCTAACTTACTTGTAGCTACTTGTTTCACGATACATAGGGTAGCAGTCATGGAGGTCTGTATACTTCCAGTTCCTTGCTCTCTTTAATTGACAATAATGTTTCTAAAGCTCCTTTAAAAAAAAAAAATGCTTGAGGCAAGTGGCAAGTGTAGGGCTCCAAGGACTCTTATACCTTCTCACTGGTGATTTATCTTCCATGTAAAAGCACCACAATTCTTTCCCATTGCTGTCCAAGTCAGTTGGCACAGGGTTGAAAAGAATGCCTTAACTTTAAGGTGTCAGAAAGGATTGAAGGGTCAGCAAAGAAAGAGCTTTGATTTAAAGGTGCAATAGTATGTCCCTAGTTTAAAGAAAGAATTAGGAGACCCGCTGCAAAATGACAGAATTTAATAGGCTAATAGATTGTTAGATAGTTTATCAATTGACATAATTTCAAACTGGAAAGAATAACCCAGTGGTTGCTTTATTATTATTATTATTATTATTATTACTATTATTATTGTTGTTGTTGTTGTTGTTCTTGATGATGATGATGATGATGATGTTGCTATAAACTTTTATTATTTCATTGATTTAAAATCCACTATAGTATATTCACTGCCTTTTGACCAAAATGCCATGCTCTATTGGCTTTGCTTTGAAGAGGAGGATGAAGAAGGGCTTCTGCAGTAGTGGCATCTCAAATGTGCCTATTAGCAAGATGCTACTTTATTTCCTTCCTACAGATTATCAGTGAGATTTCCAAGGACTTTGGGACCAAAAGCCATGATGAGTATTGTGTCTCACCATCTGGAAACATCCTGACTTGTGACTGAATATTTTACTTAATAATTAACAGAGGCTTAATAAGTGATGGGAAAAAAAAAGATTTATATGACCACCTCATCATCAGCAGGTTTGGTGCACACATGTGAATGGAGGATCTCTCATGTGGCATCTACCTGTGCCGGAGCACCCCAAGGGTGTCTGTGGGGATGGCAGCACACAGCTGTGGGCAGGATGGGTGGACTTCAGGGAGTGGGAAGCAAGTTGCACTCATGTGGATGGGCTGAGAGGCCTCCACACAGCTCAGTAGCAGTGTGTTCCATAATTCACCCTCTAAAGTGAAGAAGAATTTTTATTTCTGTAACTTCTAAAGTACTGGTAGGAGTGGCTGTGGAAGTTGGCTCTCCTGAGCTATTAAACTTGCTGACTTGGGGAGGACAGGGGCACATCAGCACAGGCTGCAGACAAACACCTTGTGAGGACTATAATGAACCATGGACAACACATGCCACATAAATGGGGTACTCAGGCAAGTATGTATTTGCCAAATCCTCCTCCCATCACACAAATGCCTGTGTCCTTAAACATGCATAGGAAAAAACAAAAAAACTGGACTAATGGCCTTCATAAAAACATGCATTTTCATATAAATAACCATGTAAAAAGGCTAGCTGTGATACCTGGGTATTTACTGTGAGCAGAAATACAAGCACCATGCCCCAGACACTGTTGTGAAATAAATTTTGTCTTCAGTTGCAGTTTTATAGCTCAAGATCTTTCTGCCAGACGTATGAACGGCTTTGGGAGGAAAGGCACAGGAAGGCAAATGAAGATGTGATCAAGCTAGGAAATGGCTCTTGGGAAGCCTTCCAGCATCGTAAGCAAGCGAACACGAGAGCACATTAGCACGGCGCACTGTCTAATGGACACTCCAGTGGCTGGTTCACGAGACATACGCTGTTTCACTGAGAAACAGACATTTGTGGGATGAGAGAAGGCAAATGGATATAACAGAGCCAATTTTTAAAATTTTTAGCAGACACTGTTGAAGTTGTACCAAAGAACGAATGGAGATTTGTGGACGTACTAAGAGCTGTTGAGACCTGGAATGGATTGATGGACCACAGTCATAGCAAATTGACAGTGATAAGTGTTGCTTTGCACTGTTTGGACTGGGAATGACGTCTTGAGATATTAAACTGAGGCCAGAACTCTCAGAATCACATTTTTCAACTGGTCTAATAATCTGTTTCAAAAATACTCCTGCATGCTATTATATGTGTCTCTATTTCTGAACTAGAATCAAGCACACAAAAGCACTGATTAAATGTGTGAACAATATTAAACTTGGAGGCTAGAAAAAGGGATTGGGAATAGTAATAAGATTTCAACACGAACAAAAAAAAGCTGTTGTATCAAAGATGAAATGTAGACCTGGAAGTTGTAATGACAGAAATTCATAAAGATGTAAGCTTGGGAATAAAAGGGTGAAAGGTAATATCAGGGCTATGCAAACAAAGGCTTTTTACTGTCATACACAGATGTGACAACTTACATTGCTCTTTATACAGCACCAGTAAGAATGCATCTAATTTTAACTGCAAATTGCAAGCAACCTGGTGTCAGAAAGAAGGAAAGCAATGCTTTTGCAAGGTGAAATGAGTGTGTGACAGAGAGCATTGCTCAGGAAAAGAGTCTGATTGCAGTGATTGCAATTACAAAGTAATGCTAGCAGCAACAGAAATCCCCATCAAGCAACAATATGGAATACCTCTGAGATATGTCACAGGGCAAGGCTGAAGTATTGGGAATCTCCATCAAAAAAAGGAGCAGATCAAGCTACAAGGATCACGATCATGGAAAGACTTTGTCCACTGGGATCACAAGCTAATATAGTTAGGGTAAGAAATGCAAACCACTGGTTACAATGAAGGTTAGTTGACACAGAAGGAGAGAAAAATCAACAGAAAGGAAGATCCAGTGTCCCTTTTCAGGAGGCTTCAGACTAAAAAGATCCTGAAAGGAAGCGCTTGTGGTTGCATGAAGGGTCTGGACTGGAAACAATGACTGTATGGCATAATGTGCAACTGAGACCTGATATAAAACCACCAGAGTCAGGTCAGTCTTTCCACTCCTTTCAGGAAACCTTGAAGTCATCAGGACTGCATTTCCCTAGTTCAGATACTAGACAGACCCTGAGGTCGTCCTGCTTGCCCCAGCATTGCTCCAGAAAGCCTGATTTTCAAGAAAAGATGGTGTTCCTCACCTTACCACCTTGGTGCTGTTCCTCATGACCTGCATGTCCACCATGCAGCCGCCTGTGACATAAGCAGCCAGGTTCAGCTCGGAGAACTCAGCCTGGAGCAGAGCAAAAGGAAAAGGAGAGATGATTACTTGAGGACAGCAGAGACACACATGGACACAGATGCAGAATTGTCTTCAGCCGGAATGTGCCTTTCCTTTTTTATTATTATTATTTTTTTCCCTTGAAGCAGTGGGAGATCCAATTACAACTGATTTGCCCTGGAGAGACTGCGGGAGTATTTATGGCTCCCACACTTAGGGTGCACAAGTATACAGGATTAGGCTTATTGCAGTAATAAGTACTGAAGAAATTAAGAATGAGCATGCTGAAAAACGCATACAGGAAAGAATAATAATAATAAAAAGAGGTAAGGTCATTTGAATTCAAATTCCAAGTTTCCACTTGGAAACATCCATTTAGGATTATGTCTGAGTTGGCTGTTGTGCCAGTGGCCAGCTATAAACCTAATACAAAAGTTTTAAACCTCCCTAAATAGCCAAAAAGCCTCAACATGCTGCAGGAAGGTGATAAGCAGAGAAATCCACCTGATGTAGTTTACTTATTAAGATTTTAGCTATTAAATGGTTAGCAAAGCTGGGTAGGCTATTAACAGTACTGCTCAATTATTAAAACACCTTATCTTTTAAAAGAGGCGTGACTTAAAAAGCCAGAAATTTTGGCAAGGAGTATTTAAGCTATGAAGAGCAAACGGCAATGTGCAGAGGGGCGATTGCAACTGCAGTGGGTGTCACTGAAGGTTAAGACACAAATCAGAGCGATTAACTTGCTGAGAGGTGTGATAATCCTCTTGCATGGCCCCTGGCTCTGCTGCCCCTCAGATGGGAGTGCCAGTGAGACTCGATGGTCTCAGGCCACTCTGAGTAGGAGGAGGATGGCAGGATTAGCTTGGGCTCCAAATCCTACCTCTGTTCTTTATGAGCAAATGAGTACACCCCAGTCCTCCCTTTCCAACAGGATGCAAACATACCTGTACAGATTCAGAAGCCTATATGAAATTAGTGCCTGTATATATAAATAATCAGGTTTCAGTTTTTGAAAAAGAAAAATTAGTCTTCTCCTTTTCAACGTTTTTTTCCCCTTCCTGTTAACGTGTTTCTTTCAGGCTTAGTATGGTGGAGAGTAGGCAGCAGCAAAAACGTCGTCTAACCAGTGGCTACCTAGTATCAGAGCACTCAGATGATGTTGCTAATGCTTGTGGTTTTACTGAGATCCTCATGCTATTTAATGTTCTTCTCATACTTCTACTAGCTGGAACCAAAACATAGTGCCAGAAACAACTTTTTACACAGGAAAGAAAAAAAGAAAAAGAAAAAAAAGCAAGTTTTGTCCTCGTGAACACATGGAAAAAACTTGCCAATGGAGAACTAGTGCACCTGTAAAGGCTCAGAGACTAGACGACAAATGAAAATATCACCTCCAGCTTTCTTTTTAAAAATCCACATGATTTTAAAGCAATGACCATGGATTGGTGACCAGATGATGTAATAAGATTTCATGTCTGCGACCCTATGTAAACTTTTCAAAGCAACACCCTTACACGATCTTACATCATTGTAGCTCCCAGTTACAATGAAAGCAGAGGAAAAATTCCTGTTGCCAAGAAATAAATCTTACTTCAACCACATACACACACAGACACACATAGAGGAATGGCAATGGTTCAGGTGGACTGGCTGGGTTTTTCTTATGAGATTGCGCAGTGCTGCCTTGACCACTGCCATACTTCATCAGTCATCATCTTGGATCAGAGATAACAAAATATATACACATAAAAGGCACCTGCATTTTATACATTTTAAAAATCTCAGTAGATGTAGGGAAGTCCACCTTGAACAAATTCAGCAAGAGCAGATGCTCTGGGTACCATTAGTGAGGTCCCCAATGAGTCAGAGCAAGTGGGACATAGTGTACCTGCTTGCCAGCTTACATGTGGGCTGGAAAGGCTCTATAGACAGGGGAGATGAAAGGATGGTTTTCCCACCTCTGTGCCTACATATGCCTCAGAGAGGTCCCACTCTGAAAGCAGAGCTTTACTGAGCTGGACTTTCAGTTTCTGCAGCTGAGGGATGCATCATCTGATGTGAACACCAAAGCAAGAGGGAAAGTCTGTGCTTTCATGGACTTTTTATGCTTTTCTTCCATAATTTTTTCCATAATGGTTTTGTACCCAATATCTTAACACTTTGCTTTGCTGGGTGTTAAAATGGGCAATCTTCATTTGATGGTTGGTACTTACAATCTAAGTAAGTCGGTCTGACAGGCATTGCCCTGAGGCAGTCAGAGCAAACAAAGCTGTATTCAGACACCTGACATCCAAACAGGCCTGGGAATCCCCCAAGCTGGTAAAAACTTCATACCAGACTGCCAGGACAAATTTCAGGCCTGCTACTGTCAGGAGCCAGAAGAAAGGAAGAAATCCCCTTTGGTAACCATTGTCCAGGGCACCCTGGTAAGGAGGGAGGAATGGAGAGGGGGTCTGAGGGACTCAGCTACCTCTCTGCCTAAACATCCAGATAAACAATCAATCACAGCTGAGAAACACTTCTAATCTTTTCCTGGCATTCATTCCTGAGTTAAGGACCATTGCTGCTTTCATGCAGCTGCTTTGTCCCAGTCGACAGGCCTCTGCTAGCTGGAGTTTGGAAGAAAGCTGAAAACTTCAGTCAGCAGAAATTGTTTCCTGTTGATTTTCCAGTGCTCCCTGTATTTTTAACTTTGTGGGTTTTGTAGCCTGATGACTTCCCTTGGCTGGGATTTCAAGTCTGAGATCATCTCCAGCCTGAGTTTACCTTGCAGACAAAGAGGTCTTTGAAAGCGGCCCATGCACATAGAGTGACAGGTAACTATGCATAAAACGGGAGACCCCAGCTCCCCACAGCCTTGCGGAGTCATTTGGGCTAGGACTCATCAAATAGAAAAGGCATTACACCAGGCCTGATGGTGTCTGATACTTGCTTTGCAATTGTGCCAGTGGCTGTAAAAACATTTAGGGCAAGAGTGAACCATGTGTGACAAATGTGACACAATCTGTCTTGGAGAATAGCGTAATGAAGTCTGTGGGAGTAGAAATATTTCGTACCTTCTGTGAGGCCCAGATATGGGAGGATACCCGCAGGTATTTTGAGGATAGTAGTGTTAAAAATGCCTATTTCAGATATTCAGATTCAGAAATCTCTCCAAATCATTTGTACTAAATCTTAAGCTACTCTCAGTTTCTCTCATCAGCATTCTTTAGCTGCTAGAGATCTTTTTGGTGAGCTATTTTAGAGTTTATGTTTCTGTTTACTGATAATAAAACAAGGAAGATGTTGTCATTTTAAATAATAAACAGAAATAGAAATGCCTGGTTTGGTAGCCATACCTATTAATGATTTTTGGTGGATGAATGTTCAAGGTGGATTTTAAGCATCTTTCATAAAAAAACAGAAAGTTGTGTTGGAAGGACTTAAAGACATCACACAGTAT